GTCCTCTTCCACAACATCTTCGTCCCCGCTTTCCTTCTCTCAATGAAAAATATCTGACGGAGGAGACTCATCCACGACCCTCCGACACTAAACTCTCCTCCTCTTGCATGTTTCCGCTGTCCATAGCGTTCAGTGTCGTTTCTAAGTCACCAATTTAGTGCTACTTGGTCCCAATGGAATTTCCCATTGGGAACCTACTAGCACTAAGTTGCTAACTGGTTAGCAAGAGGCTTCCAACAAACCGGCCACAACCAAAATTGCTTGCGAACCTTCCGCCACAATAATCCCGCCCTCTTGATAAACGACCAATCACATTCACTTTATTCACTCGTGTAAAGTCGTGCACCACTCGGGAGAATTCGGAAATGCAATGATTGGAACAGCTGCTTCCTTACGACTTTAAATCTGGGTGTAGTGATGGACTCAGACCTGAACCTTCAGAGGCTCATAAAGACAGGAACAAAGTGCCCAGTTCTAAAGTCCTTCCTCTGGCGCCCCCTGTATCTCAGAGAATAGACTTTAATATCCTTCTGTTAGTCTAGAAATCACTGAATGGCTTCACTCCAAAATATATTACAGACCGGTTGGCAGTGAATCGACAGCCAGACCTCTCCGGTCTACTGGATCAGAACCAGAACCAGACATGGAGAAGCAGCTTTTAGTTGTTCTGCTCCAATAATCTGGAATAAACTCCTCGAAAGCTGTGAAACCTCTGAAGCTCTCAGTTCCTTTTAATCCAGATTAGAAAGGTTTTTGTTTTGAGGCCAGAATCCTCCTCAGAAACGCTGAATCCTACGTCTGTTCCATTGATCGTCTTCAGTGCTTCTGTAATAGTTGCTCAGAGATGCTTCAGGGCATGAAAACTTTTCCCGCTGCTGGTTTTATTGTCTTCTTCTGTCTGCTTGTAATGAAAAGCAATGATTCTCAGTGAGGGAATCATGTGCTGCTTTGCTGCTGATGGCTGATTCATTACATATATGGCTAACGTTCAGCGTTCAGAGTTTCAAAACATCCTGCAGCTTTTATGGTTTTAAACCACACAGGCAGCCCTGAACATTTCTGAGCTACAGGCTGCTTTGTCACCCAGCCCTGACCTGTTACTGTGGCAACGATTAGAAAGGACCTATCAGAACTCAAAGCTCTGTCTGTACAGGGAGAAGTGGTGTCACATGACCCAGGAGGAGAGAGACGACAGCTACAAGATCGATGAGAACATCGCCTTCGGGCAGCTGGGGTAAGGAAGCCACCTGGGATGGTGTAAAGCCAGATCAGAGGGGGATGGAAATTAAAAGCTCACATGTCACGGAGGTTCAATAAATAAAAGGAGCAAATTAATAGGATAGATAAACAGTTCATAAAAAGTAATTTTGTAACTTCTACTTGGTACTTTTGGCTCATGCCAAAAACCCAAATTCAACCTTTTATTTTCTTTCTTTGACCAGCAATATAAATTAAAATCTCTTAGTATTATCATTATTATTGTTGTTAAACTTTGATTAAACAAGAAAAAGTCACCATTCGGATTGACAGGCCCTTTTATAAAGGAGACCTGGCAAAATAAGATATAATAAACTAGATAATAACCAGTTACAAACATTACATGTTAAACTATATAAAGATTGAATTTTTAAAGACTGTTTAAAAAAAGAAAACAGTTTGTAGAAAAGGTACATCAGACGGAATACAAAAACCTGATAATTTTGGGAAATCATCTGAAGTAACGAGCAGCTTCATCACAATGAATTTATTGTGTTTGTTTTTCCCAGGAGAACCAAAGTAGACAATTTCTGTAACTCTAGCTATTTCCTATAAAGCAATCAATTCACTTTGACCAATAGGATTAGTTTCGTGCTCATTTACAATCGATTTAAATTCTCCCACTGTTATCAAGTCTCCCATTGTAGTCAAATTCAGATTCTTTTGTAGATTATTCCAAGGGAAAGGTGCAGCTTGTCTAAAAGCTGTCTCACCCAGTTCTGTTCTGACCCAGGAACTTCCATCTGAAGGGTTCACAGGAACACAAGCCACACTGCACTTTGTTTTTACACCTGTAATACAGAGGTTAGGTGGAAGGAACCCAATAATACATTTATAAACAAAAGTGAACCAGTGTGTGAGTCTAAGGACATGCAGAGATGGATAACTGGCAGCTGCAAACAGGTTACAATGGTGAACTCCATTTCCACAGCCACTAATAAAGCGCAGGGCAGGATGGTACACCCTATCCAATTTAAGGTGTTAGGATGCCACATTCATAAAAACCAGACAACCATGATCCAACACAGGTATCAGTAAACAGTAGATGACTGCGTCATCTGCATAAAAGAGTAGATGACTGCATGATTTGCATGAAATGGTAGATGACTGAGTCACTTGCTTAAGATAGTAGATGACTGCGTCATCTGCATAAAAGGGTAGGCGACTGAGTAACCTGCTTAAGATAGTAGATGACTGCGTCATCTACATAAAAGGGTAGGCGACTGAGTCACCTGCTTAAGATAGTAGATGACTGCGTCATCTACATAAAAGGGTAGGCGACTGAGTCACCTGCTTAAGATAGTAGATGACTGCGTCATCTAC